AGTTAGCAACTTAATATAACTGAAATTTATATTGCAGTGGGTTAAGAAGTTAGATAAAGTTAAGGTGGGTAGGTTAAGGGTTAATTATGTAGAAGTTGCCAACACCTACTTATATTTTGAGTCTTGTATAGGGAGAGAAAATAAAAAACTAAAAATAATTTATTCTACAGCATTTCCGTCAGAAATTTATAATTTTCGAGTATTTAACCGATAAAATTTCCAACAATATTACTTATTCAAAGTGGGCAGGGCTTTGAAGCAGAGGGAAAGTCGGTGTACACGTCTTCAACGTCATCTAGGATTAAATTTTCTACACGCCCGCCAGCGAAGGGATCTTAATGTTAAGCAACATTCCCAACAAACTTTCCACACGGACCGTCTCTCATCCTGCGTATCAAAACAATCTCCACGATTAAATTGAATGTTATAAATCCTGGAAATCAATTAGAGAGCAGCCCCCCCGCACACCCCCCCCCCTGCCAACAAAATTTGTAAACACAGAGGCGATCATGTTATTCCCGAGTGGTCGTTTTGTGTAATTACCCAACACTGTCAGTCCCGGGGTCATTTACTAAGCTGATTGGTAAACATTCTCCCCACAGTCGTCGAGGCGGCGTGTGTACAGGGAGGGGGAGAGATCCCTGTGTTTACAAACCCTAAAACTTTTCCAGCTCAGGAGGTGAGATTTTCTTTGCCTCCTCGGATATACTATTGATATGATGGGGATAGGTGCTTTACCCTACCCCTAGAATTTATCATTGCTGGGAGGGATAATCCCTTTCTAGAATTTATTCCTATTGGATGCGTCGGCCCCAGCCCCCTTTTTTTTATAGGAAGCATCCGATTTTCCCTCTAAATCCTCCCTAGGGTATGGTACAGTTCTTCCCCACCCCCCAGTGTCTACCCATATATAATTTCCTTACCTGCTAAAACCACGTTGAAATGGCAGACCCACCTCATGAAATCTACCTCGTTGGAAAGGGGTGGATATGATTTCCACCTATCACCATTTGACGTAAAAATGTGTGAGAGTTGGGTTAATGTAGTACTGCTACAGAGGAAAGGCGACAGTTTGGTGGAAGAGGTGGCTGGTCCTATGGTAGCTGTGTGTGTGCGTGTGCGCGCTTTTGGTGTTTCGTGTTCGTGTCATTATTTGAACTGGTGTGTTGGTGTAAGTGGTACGATACGAGTAAAAAACGGAATGGACAGAAGATTTCAATGCTTGAGTCAACATCTTATTCGTGTCACACGTTGTATATATTTGGTAAGTTTGTGAAAAAATCGGTAATTTTTTTCGGCAAGTTTCCTGTCTTTTTCGGCAGATGTCTTGGGATACTTTGGTTCACTTTGAATTGACTCTTCAGGCTAGCAGATTCGTATCTTTACCTGCCTTTATAACATTTAGCCTGTAGCTATAATACACATGTGATATATTTATGGTCATAGTTTTTGGTTGGTTGGTGATACGGAGAGAAGAGAGCATTAGCTCTGAGGGTGCAAGAAGGGTACAGTCCAAGGTAAAGTTGAGAAGTGGGAAATATAAGAGGAGGTTGACAGCAGGTGGGCTATCGGGTGAATTAGTTTCTATGGATAGTTTAACTTCCTGATATGTTTAATAGCTTGTAGTTCAGTATCATGGAAAATATTTACCTATTTCACCTCAGGTCATCACAACTACTGTAGTGGTAACCCATGCGGCTGTTTTCGTGATGCATTATGGCCAGTGAGTAGATGCCTGGTGAATGGAGATATTTGTCAAATAAATTTAAACCAACAAATACCTTTAAATTACTAAACATAAAAACGCACGAGACTTTATTTCTTTTATTGTGGGGGAGCGGAACACCTCTGCTCAGTACTCTACCCACCGAATTATCCCATTTGTTCAAAATTTAATTGATTTAATTGAGTACTGGACTTAGACACCAGATCCATTCGTCTCGTACTTTAACGGAAAATATATATTATCGTCCTTGTGTAAGTGTCCTCTTTTTTCTGATAAATTAAGTAGCTTGGTACAAGTGTATCATGTTACATCCCCTCCCCACTCCTCTTCCCATTTTAATGCGAATTAGTAACTACCTCCAGAAAGTAGAAAGGTGTTTAAAATACACGTGTTACGCATATAATCTGAATACGGTCAGTTTTCTTTCATTCACCAAGATTAGAGGACGCATCTTGATGGGGTAACACCAGAAAATTAATTTCTGAATAAATATAAGAAACGTGAGTACGCATCGTAGTTACATATTATTAACGGATAAGAAAAATACAACCTAATAATGTATTTAAGTCGTGTATTGGTCTAATAATCTGAATTGTAACAATTTATTTACGAAATTGGCACAGTTCAATAATAATTATAAGGAAAATTTATGTAGAAAACTTAAAAACAAAACAAAAACACGAATAAGTTAGATAAGATTTTTATGGATAAATACAAGACATGACTCATAGGGGTATATTTGTCTGTATTGAGTTTGGTTCGTATTTGAGCCCCAGGATGATGTACACTACAGTCTCCTCCACTTCCAACTGGTTCAGTCAGCGTTGCCAGTCCACCCTCTCCGTGTAGTGTGCTCCTCACCTTTATTCTTTACAAGGGTGAGGTGATAAACACGTATAATTATATTACAGTATTAGTATTACTTTCGTATACTTTCATATGCATTAAATAATATATAACCAGCAAATGATAGACCAAACACTTCGTTTCTAAACCCCGCCCAGTGATTTTAAACACCATGAACGAAACCCCGAATCAGGCCTTGAACATTGAATCAATTCCCACTTTATTAAGTTGAATATTATTTAAAGGTTGCTATTTTTTTGTTGGTGATTCAGAAATAGGAATTGAATCTTTTTTAGTAAATTGGAATTTGGATGATGGATGGTTCAGTATGGATGGGTCGGTGCCTCAGTCACACAGCTTGAATTTTCAGTGAATTTGTGACAGGTGATGTTGGAGCCGACACACATTTTAGCTCAGCCGTCACGAGTCATTGATACGGATATCGAACTTTGTATTAGTTGGAGGTATGCTTAGAAAATAATGCATAGAATCTACCTCAATATAACGCCATTTTCTCTTTTTGCCATATTTGACTTACAAAACGCTAATGCGTCACCTCTTATCAATACTCTATCATATAAAACATCAGTATGACATAATATTGTTTTCTAGCATACAACAAACTCATAAATAATGTTTCTCCCCAGGCAATGACACACATCGTCATGACCCATGCAGGTACTGCCAAAAGTTAACAAGCAATGTTATATGTCCACATAATACAGCGGACAGGTTGTAATAACATGTTACTTGTGTTTCCCAACGTAAACAAACACCACAAATTATAAAGTATCTGCTTGCGAAACACGGTGGACCTGTGCTCTAAACTGTGCCCGGCGCTGACACCCCATAACACCATCTACTGACATCACACCACACGCCACCTTCCAGTAGACAACAGATAGACGCCATTGGAGCTCTATTAACTAGTCTATTTAGTAATTTGTATAGAAACTGAAAAACCTCCACGAACTAAAGGTGGAGCTCATGCACACCGATGAGTCATTTTCATTGCATGTTAATTAAAAGTGTTTACAACTTCCTGGGTATGTTTTTATTGTTCATTACACTGTTGCTATTAAGATCCTTACGCAATTAAATTTCAATGCATTCGTTATTCATTGGGTCATAAATGGAACCCCGTCTTAAGAGGACACCATATGTAGAGGCCCCAGCCAGACATGGGGTAATAGCAATAGACTATTTTGGGCTGTAATAGTAATAGAAGGTAAAGTAATAGATAATAGTATATTACGTTTCTGTTACAGAGACACATCTTTAACTCTTAGGTTGTCGAAGATTTTCTCAAAATTACTGAATTGCTGCTGTCATTTAAGAGTTTGCTTTGACAAGGGAATAACAAAAAGCAACCACAACATGCTTGTTTGTAACACACCAGAAATTCCTGCATATGTGTAATATGTCATTATTCACAAGAAAATATTACTGTTAAATGCAGATAAAGTAGGAACATACTGATGACTATGCAAGAAAAATACTCTGGCATCCACAGCTCCTGCAACTCCAGGCTCCAAGTGTTGTGACTGGCTGTGTTGATCGTGTATTGTTCGTGACCAAAAGTATTAATAATAGATGACATCTAAAGTAATAATAATATTAATACAGGGTGAGCCAAAAGTCACTGTGCACCTACCGTAGACGATGAGTATATTCAGTCTCTGTACATTAATACAAATACATTTCCCATACTCACCTATGTTACAACAAATGTTGGTAATGGCACCCACGTGCCTATAGACACGCATCTACACTCCTTATCTTGTTTGCAAAGACTCGACAATTCATTCGGAGAGATGTTCCTGGTGAAATTTGCGATGACTTCCTTCAGCTCAGGGAGTGTGAGGATTGTCTTTGTAAACTGTGCTTTTCATTGCTCGCCACATAATAATAGGGGGGTGTAAGATCTGGCGGCCGTGGTGGCCAAATGCCCTTTGAAATTATTCTGTCCCCGAACACATCGCGCAGTAGCTTCATGGAGACACGAGCTGTGTGTGTGTGCAGTATATCACCGTCCTGTTGGAAGTAGCCGCAGGTATTTCGTCCTCATTTGAATGTCCAATGAAAGAGCAAAGAATTAGTTTATAATAACGATCCGAGTTGATTGTGTCACTGAACAATATACTCATCGTCTACGGTAGGTGTGCACAGTGACTCTTGGCTCACCCTCTATAATAAAGCAAAATTAAAAGGATTAGTAAGAGAAACCCAGTAATAGACCCCATGTCCACCCCCCAGCCCACCCCCCAGCCCACCCCTTTATCACCCCAAGTAAGTAACAGTTGTTTAGGTTTCAGCAGGAGGAGGGAAGGACATTGCTGGGACTTGAACATCCAGGCGTGACGGGCGTAGTACATCTTGACAGAAGAGGGCAACGCCCCCTCCGCGTCCATGTGAACGAAGGTGATGAAAGAGTTGATAACCCTCAATGTGGCAAGTTTCACGTGTGTGTGTGTTTGTGTGTGTGTTTGTGTGTGAGATCGTGTAATCATTTAGATGGAGAGTTTATTGATGTACCTTGTTAAGTTTGTACACAATGGTCGCTTTTATAAGTTTAGATAACAGCAGTGATAAAAGCAGAAAGGTACATTATCCTAACTTCTTAATAGTATTGTTGTATAGTGTATGCTTACGTGCTGGAAGACCTAAAGTGTATATCCCCCCTCACTAATATGTGATAGACATGGTAATGTTTGCCTCTCAAAATTTGGTTTAGGTTATATACTTAAAAAATATTCTCTTCGATAAGTTTGGGCGGTTCCGTTGATGATGATGATGATGGTGTTTGTAATGAGAAAAAAAACAAACAAACAGTATTAAAGTAAAACCATCAAAGATCAATAATTGGGTCAGTAATAAACATGACAATAACAAGAGCATTAATGACAGCAGCCACAGTAAGAACAAGGTGGTTATACTTTTTGGTCAATAACAATACGCAATTTTAAGAAACTGAGAAAACACTCGAATCACTGCGTATCACGAACGTTTGATCTTTGGCTAGTCCCCCAGCTCAGCGAAGAAGCAGCTGAGACTAAACTGTTCTATCTTCCAGTACAGTTCACTGATGGCTCTGTGAGTGTCGCCTTCTGAACCCACAGTGAATACGTCTGTTAAGAGTGTGTGAGAGTTAAACTTAAAGTCCGTGGAGAAAGGTAGCCCAAGTTTATTGAGAGCCTGGATTACTGGGGGTCTTTTGGCGTCGGATTGCGTAACCAAGACTATGATTTTTTCTTTCCCTTCGTCTGTGAGGAGCGAGTACAGGTGCTTGTAGACGGATTTGTAAGACTCAGAGTTTTTCGATTCTGGCTGGTGCTACGAAGCCTATAACGTCAAAATGGTGAAATCCGCAGGTCTGTCTTAACAGTGTCGTCAAGCGGGTCATTATGTTCTTGTTGTGAGCATGTTCCTCTGAGCTCCCCAGGCCCGGCGTGTCCACGATGATGAGGTTGTGGCGGTCGTAGGGTCTCGGCAGGAGGTTGAAGGTGTAAGCCGTTGTGAATTTAGTTTTCTTTAAATTTAGGGTCTTATGAAGGCGGTGCAGCGGATCGCCATTAGCGAGTAAGCGGAAGTTGTCTTGGAATTTGACGGCGAAGATGTGGTTGATCATGGCCGTAGCGAGGGTCGTTTTTCCCGAGGTTTTGTCCCCCACCAAAACGAGGATTTTAGTTGGTTTGTCGTTGGCATCTCCCAGTGTGAGCTTCTTTATTCTTAGTGTTTCATCCTGGTGCTCCACTTTCATCAACAGCTGACGAAGATCCAGTCCATCGACGTGTCCAACAACTTCCGTGAACTGATGAATCACTCGTAATCTCGATATGTCGGAAATATCCACACTTCCTGCTTCCAGTCGCCTCACGAGTGACAGGCTCAAGGGTGAAGCCTCTTTTAGTTCCTGAAAGAAATCGCTAACGCCGTGGTAGTCGAAGTGGTGGAAGATTTGAAGTAAGAAGTACTCTTCTGGGCTGACATTTCCGGCGTCTGTCTCCCCGTTGTCAAAGATAAACAAATTGCTGTAATCGATGTTAGATTTTTTGAGCGAGTTGAGAAGAGTCATATAAGACGTGGAGTCTGACACAAGTATCTGCATGATACCTTCAAGTCCATCAAAGGAAAGACTGAGTAGCTCATAGGTGTTGATGAGTGGACGAAGAACATCCTGAGACGAAGGAGTAACCAGACTGACGCTATCAATCATAGTCGTTCCAAATTCTTGTTGAAGGAACCCCTCCAGGTCCTGCAGGATCCTCACGTCCCTCTCTGTGTCAGTAGGGGAACCTAAAGGGGGTACGTCAACCAGAACTAGGTTGAAGGGCAGGGCCATATCCCCCGATTGATTGAATATGTATACATAGATAGTGTTTGGATCGTCATTGAAGATGTGATTATTCACCAGAATGAGACGATGGGTGTCGGTCACCGCGACGTCGAAGATGTAGTTCACAAAGGAATCCTTAAGAGTGCCTTTACTCTCCAAATCATCGCCGAAGAGAAGAACCACTTTGTTCAGGCCGTCGTTTGAACTGCCAAAGGTTTGTTTACATACAGGGTCTCCAGCTGATGATGTTGACGTCATCTTGAGCGGGAGGAGGGTGAGGCCACCCTCGGTGAAGCCGTGACCAGGCAGACGCACCATGACTCACCTGAGGACAGACAAAGGATAAGATAAAACACATGTACTGTACCTCCCCCTCTACAAATACGAAGTAGTGAGAGAGTTGATTAAGTGATTGTTCTCCCACCTGAGTGTCGGGAGGACATCTATGATTTTTTCGTAACTGTTGCCAATATTACTTTCCTCCCTCCTTTAATTTAACACTTATATCAACTTTGTTTTAAATACTGTCATCGAACTGGTATCCGTTCATCTTACACATCACTAATATAAATTTCCTCTTAATGACCATAATGGCAGTAAAATACCAATTTCAGTGAATATGGAAGGTAGAGATACTACGTACTGCATGTGGTGTCCATTAACTTATCAAATTCTTTAACATGACGACTCTCCAGAAGAGAAATTATATAGAGGGACTCCTGCACCTGACAACACCTCTCGTGATATCGTGGCGTCTAAATACATTGGAAACTTAACGGAGTAACCGCAAAATATTTTTATAAACCTTCTGATACACAGTCGTTAGCGCTATATGTATCTTGACTTATCTAAGTAAATATTACTGCAATGAACGTTACTACTTCGTCTTAATGACGTAAAGTGTATTGACCTGCATGCGAAAGGAAAAGTGTTCCAAACTTTGTTTAAGCCTCCAGATGCCACACGAAGCGCGTATACCAAGGATTATTTCCAAAGGAAAGTATTTCATGGTTACTCCATTTGTTTATTCTTTTGTTTAATGCTTTCTTGTGCAGAGATATCTCGGACACTTCGGCATATACATACAGTACACCGACAAATGTGTGTGTAACCCGGATCGGTGCTGTACAGTTGCCTCCAGATGAACGTATCACAGATCGGGTACGAGCCCCCAGCTTGGAGTATGAGATGTGGCAGTGCAGCGCCTAATCATGGCTGAATGCATGGGAGTAAACCAGTGCGATAACCCTGTTTGCGGTAGATACAAACAATAACGGAGGTAAAAAGATAAACGAGTCCTGTAATACGTGTTATGCAGCATTGTGTGTAGCCGACAAACAGGATAATCCAAAGTTTTACGCCCATGACTACCGCGCTGCGTGCCACACACTGCCAGGCCGTGGTACGATCATGTGGAGGCAACTGTACCACGGGTCGGTGATGTACCCCAAGTGGTGCGCGTAACACATGCTACCACGGGGGTATGACAAATATAAAACGTTGGTTTTGCCCACCCCCCCCCCCCCTCCCCCGCCGCGTGTGTTGCGACCATCTTGGTACATCACCGACCTGGGGGGGACCCGTACATCACCGACCCGGTACATCACCGACCGGGTACATCACCGACATCACCGGGGTACATCAATGACCGGGGTACATCACCGAGGTACATCACCGACCCGGGGTACATCACCGACCGTACATCACCGACCCGGGGTACATCACCGACCCGGGGTACATCACCGACCCGACATCGGGGTACATCAATCATCCCGGGACCCGTACATCACCGACCCGGGGTACATCACCGACCCGGGGTACATCACCGACCCGGGGTACATCACCGACCAAACGCTTTGGCAAATTTTATCTCATATTTTGTTAATGATTGGATGGGGTGGGATGGAGGCAGTTATTACATTGAATGTACCACTAGTTTGCTCTGTTTTTGGGATTTACGGGAAGTTTAGCGAGGTTTGGGTCTCATTTTGGTGAATTGGGAGTGATGCCATCTTTCTCTGACACCTTCGTTCACGTGACATCACCTCTTCTATTTTCTTACGGGGGTGATAGAGGTTATGTATACATCTATGGTCACGGTCATCGTTAACTCAGGGGCAGACGAAGGGATGCTGGCTACGTTTGTTGAAAGGTGGAATATCGTTTAGTCATTGCCAGGCACAAAAAAGTTGTGCATATGGAAGTGTACCAACGTGCTGTGCCTGATGCAGTTCACTAATACTTAAAGAGCGAAGTTTGTTTTGACAGTTATAGCAGCTGTCTGTTATTTAGTTATTAACTTATTTGATCGACTGTATCTTTTACAGTTTAGACAATATAATTAACACTTACCTGAGGTGTGAGTGTCTAGCTGCGGTGGAAGAAGTGCCTAAATGCCAGTTATAGTGCCACATACTAGCTTTCATACAAACACTCGTACACCTCCCCGCCTGCTGATACGGTGTAGTCACCTGATAGTGGGAGATAACATATTGATTGTACCACCTTCTGTGTTTGCTGGTCCACACCTGTTATTTGTTTTTTTGCGCTTCATATTTGTAATTCGCTTATTTTCAAAGGTTCAAGTGGTAGCCTCTTTGGTCCGCACCCTTTCATAATCCACACCCGTATTTCGCGGTTCTGGTTTTAGTACAGGAAGAAACGGTAGTACCCAGAGATAACCTACCATATTCAGTAAAGGTTATGCAGGATATCACCATTCTCGCATCCTACTCGGGAAGTGAACTCGGAACGAATTAATTGAGAGGTAAGATCACGACCACCTGAGGCACAAAAATGCATTCCAAGGTCCCACCGAGACTCGAACTCGGATTGTTGGATTCAGAGTCCAAAGTGCTAACCATTACACCATGGGACCCGGTTACTACACTTGGGGTTTTAATTACCTTTATGCTATTAATTATTCCAGGGTATATGACTAATTATTAGACATGAACTTAATTAGTATTTCACGCTGTTAGTAAGTATTCAACATTAAGTAAATTAGGATACTCCTTGATGTTACTCATTGTTCCACGTCTAGTCAATGATTTCATACGACTCTTAAGTATTGGGTTCTGAGCCGACCAATACTCATTATTAGTAATTAGTTTGTGCTTAGTCATTAAATTGTAAAAAAAACAAAACAATTATATTCAGTTATTTAATAAAGGTTTAACCTTCTCGAATCTCCCCCATAAACTTATATTAGTGATATTTATCTTGTGTTTGTCTTCCTTTCTTTATTTTATTATCTTGTCTCTGTCATCTTTTATCATGATGTCTCTATCCTCCATTGTTCCAATTATCACTTAATATTTTTTGGCCTTACCGTGGTCAGCTCTAGGTTCGTCTTTCCCCACTGACTGGTGGATATATTTTCTGCGTAAGGGAGTTTTTTTTCTTTAAATAAATATCACTGTATACGCTGTCGGGCGTACGGTCAGGCCCCGCGCTGGCGCAGCTTGTCTATGGTTGAAGTTTAACCAACAAGCCTCTCCCCCTTTCTCTTTCTCTGGTTGATAACACGAGTCACATTTAGCGGGTGGTGTGAGGTGTTGGTTGGGAGAGAGCGTAGATGGAGGTCACACGGGCTGACCACCATCCTCGGGGTCAGGGTCAAGGACATCCGGTTACCCCATTGTCTCCTCCAGCTTCTCCCTCTCTTATAAGGTGTTAAGGACATGGAGGCCGACAGGTTCACGTGTGTGTGTGTGTGTGTGTGTGTGTGTGTGTGTGTGTGTGTGTGTGTGTGTGTACCGAGCTACAATCACTCTTACTTTGTTTTCCTGCTAATGAATGGAAAACGTATTTTTTTTTTAGTATGTTAGGGTACAGGTGTGCATGGCAACACCTGATTTGGGTGAGGGGCGGCGAGGGAGGTAATTAAGCCATGTAGAAACCTCCGAGCCTTGTTACTATAATAATCATAAGTTTAGTAATGATTTAATAATAATGATTGTCTAGTAATACTGTAAGAACAACTAAATGTAATAATAATAATAATAATAATAATAATAATAAAGATGAAAATTATAACAGGTCTATTGCAGTTATACCTCTATATATGGGAGAAATTGCCGTCTACATCAATGAGTCAGACGAATAATATTTAAGAAGTTACTATGGCAACCACCCAGCAGTAAATGACGCTTGCTTTGACTGACATTTACACACGTTTTCCTTCAGGTTGTCCTCAACACTCACACACGTGTTGTTTTGGTCGTCTTTAAGGGTAAACGTGTCATATATTTCCTAGCTAGCTTGTTATGCCCCAGCGTCGTACAGTAGTCGTCATCGTAATTGGCGTACATAAACGTTAACTTATGTAGCTACCAGTTTGATTTGAATTATATGCTGCTAACTCATGAAGCAACTCATTAAATACTTCATTATGCAGTTGATCTACTTGTAAGTCTAATTATATAACCTTGTACTGTTTTGCGTCATCCTAGATCTTGTTTACCAATGCATTTTTTTGCAGTCTTAGGTGACATTCAAATTCCTTACAGAGGCATTTCATGTAAATATGATTGGTAATGATGTGTTGTTAATTTGTTTTTGTGGGAGTGAGGGTGGTGTTGGTATGTGGGGTGCAGCAGGAGTAAGGCTGTAGGGGCGACAATACAGTAGGTCTACAGTATTTGGTTTTCTCCTGATTTCGACTTTTCTCCGATAAGCATCTCATCTTCGGCCTGAGGCTGGGAAAACCTTCAGTGCTGTAATAATAATAATAATAATAATAACAATAACAATAATAATAATAATAATAATAATAATAATAATAATAATAATAATAATAATAATAATAATTAACTGTTTATTGAAAGAGCATAGCAACCGGAAAGCTGAAAATATACAGTTACATAATTGGGAAATGGGTAACCTGATTGGCAAATAATATACAAGTAACATATGTGATACAAATATGGTACATAATTACTAGGTGGGGAGAAGGTTATACTGCAGGGCATTTCAACATAGTGACAGTGCAAAGAGGTAAGATTGACCGGGATTGAATACACTGATTGATTACGAGTTGTTGATAATTTCTACAACAGTTGGGACTGGGTTGTTCTTATAGCGATCAGTACGTGCTCGTATGGGCAATTCGCAGACGAGGGATCTCGGGTGGAAGTAGGAGCCGGTGTCGAGGATGGTGCAGAAACTTCACACCAAATTTGCCGATGAGGTCATGGTGATGGCCAGAGAGAGCCGAGAGGGTCAGTGTGTTGAGCGCTTCTTGATGTGGATTATTCTCTCCTTTTGAAAAGGAGAGAATAATCTTGCATGCCCTCTTTTGCACTTTTTCTAGGTGTTTACGTTGTGTGGTATTTAGGGAGGAAGACCAGGCAGAGGAGGCATAGGTGAGCTTGGGAAGTATGAATGTTGAATAAACTGAGGAGCTCGGGCGCAGGAACTCCAAGGGACTTAAGTCGGCGGAGGAGGTGGAGACGAAAACTGGAAGACAACTTTACTGACGTGTGTTTTCCAATTTAGTTTATCTATAGTGTGTGTGTGTCGTCAATACTGCAGTCTGTAGCGGCGTACCTAAATGGAGTGTTGGTGTCCCTCCCTATTTTGAGAGCAGGAAAATAGTTAATTTGTTTGTAACTATGTGATTGTTCTGCATTTGGCTATGCGTCTGTATGCTGGCTTGCGTTTGGCAAGCAGAGGGAGATCTGATTCACCGTAATTTACTCATTATTTTCCCTCAATATGAGGAGGGAGTGACACCCATGATGATGTTAGTACATCTTTTTCTCTTGTTAAAACACACACTCATCCCTGTAGGGTTGTTTAGTGGTACTGGTGGTACACTTCGATGCTTGTGTGTGTATTGGTGGTGGATGTAGGGCCTTTACCTCCAAAATAATCGTGGTTTCAATAATCCACTCTAACCCTATTTCAAGCGACTGTGGCTGAAGTCCGATCCATCCACAGTTTAGTGTGTAGAGTTGGTTCAGAAATCAAAGAAGCAAGAGAAGCAGTTTGACAAGTAAGAGTCTTAGTTTGAAGTTCAGAGATGCTGTGACCCTTGCTTGGCTGTGACAGCAAGTCAACAATCCTTGGGGTTGTAGACTGTGTCAGGAGTGTGGGCAGGTGTCGCATGGTAGACTGTGTCAGGAGAGAGAGAGAGAGTGTGTGTGAGTGTGTGTACTGCTGAGGGAAGTAAGATGGTGGGCAGATTGTGGGGTGTTATCCTTGACTAGTAATGACAGCAGACAGACGGATGAGTGATAATATCTCTAGTACTGCATTATATTATTTGGTACCATGTTCCATCACAACATAATTTGTGTATGACTGATTGCGTTTGGACTTGCAGATTGCTTGCTGGTTTTGCAGTTATCTGACTCTGGCTTGTTTACTGTCAGGTTCAATCAACTGACCCTACTTTGTTTACTGTCAGGTTCAATCAACTGATCTTACTTTGTTAATCTTCTTACCTATCAGCTGATCGATCCTGTCTCACTTGACCTAAATTAAGAAAAGTTCAAAGTTGTGTTAAATAACATTAGAGTGCTGTGCTGAGCTGGGAGTTGCACAGGTCTGCAGTGAATATATTTTGCCACTGTTTAATTATCCAGCCGAGTATCAACAATTGGTCAACACTGAGCAGCCAACTGGCGTTACAACATTAAAGAGACTAATATCTTCCCGCAGCCTCGCCAGGTGAGCTTGTACAAATATCCATAACATGTTTTCAACAACTCCTGACATTTGGTAACTGCTGAATAATAATTGTATTAGTACAAGCCAACACTGTGTCACTCGTTTAGTTGTGCTTGCCATCCTTGTTGACTTATTTCCTGAACTATTTCATCTCGATTACCCAAATAGACTGAGGGCGTTAGGAGTAATAACTCTTTAGACAAAACACAGCACAGTATGGTGAATTTCAGAGACATTGATAATCTTGAAAGGGATGGAAAATGTTAATCCGGGCCAATTTTTCGTGACGCACCGCCAACGCCAGATGACACAACTTAAAGCTCGTTAAGGTGTCATGCAGGACGAATGGTAGCAAATACTTCTTAACACAGAATGGTAAATTTATGGAACAATCTGTCAACTCAAGCCATGGAAGCCAGAACGGTGTTGGGCTTGAAATAGTCCTGGACAAGCCTATCAAGAACAGCGGCCTCCTTCCCTTGGCAAAGCTACCTCTCGTTGAGATAACTATTAGGTAAATTTAATATGTAATGTCATCTTGCTGCCTTCCCACGAGAAACTTGGAACCGTCTTTTTTAATAGTTACATCACGTAAGTCTGTCTGGTCACTAAGCTGTTATTTACAGTGTATATTTTTTTAATAGTATTACATTCGGAGTCTGGCATAACCGTATTACAAAGGAATTTTTCGTCCCACAGAACAAAAGAAACACGTGTGTGTGTGTGTGTGTAATTGTGTAAAGAATAT